TAAATCTAGAGTTAAAGGAACCTTACCGATTACTCGCGGTCGTCTCGAGGTTAGTGGAGATTTACAATTTTTTGAATCCGCTGAAGTACTCGAAACTTATTTAAAATTTATGTGACTTCTCTAATGTTCACGCAACGCTCTGAGGTTCTCTGTTCTTTTCTGAAATTCTCAAAACATCTCTTAAGTTTTAGCTGTTCGCATAAAGCCTGTTGTTGTTGTACTATCCTAAAAATGCTCAAGCTTCCGTGAACTTCTGAACTTATGCGAAGACCTCAATTAACCTTTTTACGTCTCTGAAGTAATCTGAAAATCTGGGAACTGCTTTACATTTCTCACTAATTTTCTCAAACTAATGGATTTCGGAGCTTTCGGAATTTTCGGAACTTACTAAACTTCTTTCAAATCTTCCCGCATGTTGCTAATGTTCATAAAATTTTCTGAAGTTCGTGGATCTCCCCTTAAACTCTATAGATGTCTATGAAACGTTTTTGACGACCACTGTCCTTCTGTGAAGTTTTCGAAGTTATTCTAATTTTCTGGAACATTATATTAGAACGAAATAACTAATATTGTTCTATGATATTCTCTGAAGTTCTCAAGATTTTTCTGAAATTCATTAAACTTCCCTTAAATTATCGACACTAATTTAAAACTTCTTCAATAGTCTAGACTTTCCTGGTGTTATTAAAACTGCCTACACGATTTTCTTTAAAGTTCTCGGGACTGCCCTGAATGTATCAGTAATTTTTAAGAACCCGCAACTTTACTGAAATTAATTGATTTGCCTTGAAGTTTCGACAATTTTCTTTGACTATTATAACCATTATAGACGCTCACTAATTTTTCCTGAACTTATCCATGCTTTTAGCTGAAGTTCTCTATTTTTTTTTAATAATTCAGCAAATTTTCTGATATATACTCATAATTCCCTGACGCTTTTGACGTTTTCGGATCAACCAAAGAATTTTTGGAATACCCCATAATTCCACGGAGCGCCTTGTAAGACGCTGCAAATTTGCTTAAGTTAATGGAATTATTCTGAAGCTATCTGATCGTCGTCCAAGTACTCGGAACTTCGCTGAATATCATAAAAATCATTTCTCTGCGTGTATCTAAAAATATCTAAATGTATTAGAAGGTTTAGTCTCAGCTGCTGGAAACGTGTGTTTTCAAGAGTCATCCGCCTTTTCTTTTTTCTCTTAATTTGTTCTCCGTGCTGAACACACCTGGACCTTACCTATCGACCCATCAACTCATGAACCCTGGGACCAACGGCTTTACTTCCCTGATGTTATGCATCAGAACATCCCAGGGGCGCCGACTAGTATTGAAACCAGTCCTGTTGGGTTGAGAGGTAATCACCACCGGCGCCGCTTCATCCGCCTTTGATCACGTTCAGTTTGCCACTTGCCACCAGCTGTCGAATAAATTGATGCTTGACTTCAATATGCTTGGTTTTCTTGTTTTTCATTCACATTCTCGATTGTCTTCATAGATCGTTACATGGGTTGGAGACTATTTTGAGATCCTCCGAAACGCCACTGGTTCATATGGCATCTACTGCTGCTGCACTACACTCGTGGCATTGTTCTAGTCCTACTCGCTTCAACGAATTCTTGTGCATGGTTGACGATTCCTGAGTGACAGGCGGCCGGTCGGACTCACAGCATGATCGAAAGGGTTCGCCAGTACTAGGACTTATACGAAGTGGTTGGAGTCTTGGTCGGATTGCACTCCCCTCATGCCTCAAAAATCTTCGCGGATGTTAATTTCTTGTGGTAGTCTCAATGATCCTCCATTACGGTTGTAATCGATCTTCATACCCAGGAAATGCCGTGGTTCTCCACAATCGATGATAGAGAACACTTTTGAGCTAGTTGATCGCGTCCAATCCTATCTTTTCAATCTGATTGGTGAACTTCTTATTTCAACATTGGGGCACTTGACTTTTGTAGCTTGTACGCCATCCCTGGTGCTAACTTCGCACTATTCCGGATCATACATATGAATGTCCTCATACAACTTGCCTTGGAGGAATGCCGTCTTTTCGTACATCTGGTGAAAAATAAGCAAGCTTGGCCACCGGTGAGATACAGCATTTCACGGTCCTCGTAGTCCAGTCTCAGTTTTTGCGTCCGTTCTCGTCCTCCTTAGCACAGAATACCTATTTTGTATCCATCGGTTTCGCGTTGGCGGAGCATTGTATAATTAGCTTCCACACCATGTTGCTATCCATGGATAGCAGTTAGATGACTTTCAGCCACATGACTCGGTCTTCCAGAAGCAACACTTTTTGATAGGATGGAGAAAAATGGAGAAAGGTTTCTCGTTATCCAGTCAAGCTATTTACCAGGAAACCTGTGTTCTCGTTCGAAGTGCTTCATGTCGTTCCTCAAAACAAACGTCACAAGCAATTACCACCATCTTTGCTCCACATGTGGTATCTTTAGGCAGCATATCCCATCATGATTACTTCTTGAATCTTGGCATTTAACTTTTTGTGAAGTTGCGTTGGTATACATGCATCCTTGCACGCAAACCCACGAAGCTTCGACTGATCCGGCCGGCGTAGCTAATTCACTCCACAATGTGGAGTTCACATTGTTTGCATCTTGTTGGACCTCTCCGCCATACCGTTCTATTTCGGCGTGTAGGCGACGGAGATTTCGATTGGAAAGCCCATCTTCTTATAGAACTTCTTCTGCGCTTTTGATCTCCTACGACACCTACGACTTCCACTTCATCAGAGGAAATGCGTTTTGTATGCAATGAACAAGACAACATACCTTGACCCATCCCAGACTAGTCAGTCGATTAGGCCGCAAACCTCCGAATGAATCCGCTCGAGGTCGGTTTGGATTGGTCACGTGTATCATCGGATGGGTCCAGACACTATTTACCCTGTGCACAGGCGTTACAGAACCGACAGTTGTCAACTTCTTTTGTACAATTCTGGTCATTGCAGTTTGAGCAAGATGCCAACAATCGCGGGTATTCGTTTTTTATCCGGTACAGCCCTTCTTCATGTGACCCGTTTTCGCACATTTGCCCTTGAATTTGCTGATCTGCTGATTTTCTGCAAACGCAGCTGGCTTGTCTTTCATGTTTCCACCCCTCCGATCAGCACATGTTTGCTCTTCTGCTAGGAGTTGTTGCTTGGATCAAGCCAAAATTCAGGTCTTCCTCGTTGATGTTTTAGCGCCGCAACTAGTGGATCATACTGAGTCTGGCAAGCTTAGGAAAAGCTCCATCAACTAGCACTGCACCAGTCGTTTTGAATTTTCTCGCCAAATTATCGAAGGTCAGAAGGTGGAGGAACGATATTATAGCTCTCGCTTTCATTCCCCAGGACTGGGAATACACTCGGCGTTGCTCGGGTAGCCGTGGACTTACTCTGGGTGTCCTGTGGGAGTTATTCTCATAATCCGAAATATTTATCTAAGGTAGTCTCGAAAGTTCTGTAAGTCTACCCTGGAAGCAGTGTTGTTAGCTTTTCATGAAGTACGATCCGTAGATAGGATGCAAATTTTCTACAAACTAGTCATTCAAAAGGTACCTATTTCCTTTTTGTTAGAAGTCATCTGGACATATCTTAAACAGGTATTTGAGATTTACTGATCCTCTATGTGGCCTCAGATAGCATATAGTCAGTTAAGGCATGGTATTACTATTACTAAGCCGGAGGCGACGGGGCATCGATTACCTGACCGATCTAGAAAATGTTTCGGGTTTGACATATTCTTCGACTTGCCTGGGCACAGAGTATGATTGGTGCTTGCCACACGATATTCAAAATCAAATTCATGCATTAGTTGGTATACAAATCACTCAACCAATAACTGCGGGAGTGCTTTAAGGAACACTAAGAGCAGACATAAGCTTGTGTATGAGCGTCAAAGCCAGGCAGAAGCATCTTCTAAACGTTTCCCTGGAAGTGCTCCAAAATGGTCAGGTTTGGTTTGGGAGTTTAATCTTCCTGTTCGGTTCCGAGTCTGGTTCAGTGTTAAAAAGGTTAGATGGCGGGTCTCATGTGTTTCAGTTAAAAAAATAATTGCCCGGGAGTTGTTTAGACTTGCCTTAAAAAATGATTCTTGAAGTACACGGAATATGTCTTATCCTTTCTTGGAACTCCTGAACAATGGTTTATTTCTACACGATTCAAGCCGGGTTTGGTTAAGAGCATATTGAGGGGTCTACAGAAGACTTTGGGGGCTACTTCTATTTAGTAATCCTTTAGGTATCCCCACGTATCGGGGTGAGTATGTTGAGTTCCTCTAATCTACGGAATTGACCTTAGAGAAATCTGACATCACTGTTACACGCCCACTTCAAACAAAATATGAGAAGAAAACGTTTCATAAGGGCCTGTTCATAAACTACGTAGACAGTTTTTTGGGATTCTTGACCCCCCCCCCCCTCCCCCTGCGTAGACAATTGTCCATACAAAAAAAAAAAAATTTGTATGGGCCGTGGATAATTGTCAACAACCCCCCCCCCCACCCCCCCCCCCCCACCCTAAACTGTCTACGTAGTTTATGGACAGCCCCTAATAAGTGGATACATCACCCAAATAAGAAATTTAAAAAGATAACATGTTAAAGAATGTAGTAAAACACTAGAAGTTTTGAATTGAGACAAATTACAATTACATTAATCTGACTAAAGAAAACATGTTTAGGAACAATAATTGACTACACTAAACGAAAGTTAATTTAGAAATCCGCTGGATAGGATTACCCTTTCAGATGTACCTAATGAAGTAAATAAATTTGAAACTCAAACTTTAGTAAATCTCTAACGACAGAAAATTATCCTGTTCTTAAAAAAATAAATCTTTTAAAAAAAAAATCCAAATTGATATAATTTGGTACTCCCCGAACATGTCTCTCACGAAACACATTAGCCAATAAGTTACCAATCTTCAACGAATTTTCAACGCAATCATCGATTGCAACGAAATTTACTGGTCCTCTCCCCCCGGACCCTTCTCCACAACTTACCATCGTCCGATCCGAGCAGCAGATCCTCCTCATTCAGTAGGGCCGCCGGGTCCTCGCCTTCTGCCAGCTCATAGTTGATCAAGTCGTCACTGGACATAGCACGAAACAACAATCGGACGGGGAAGAAAAGCAAAGCAAAAAAAAAAACAAGAAACTATTTTTAGTAACACCGCCACAAGCTGGTCGATTCTTCTTCGGAATTTCAACACCAGGAACCACTATCACACCACCGGGATTTCGAAACCATTCGACGGAGTGAGATAACCGGCGATAAGAAAACAATCTTGCAATGACGGGGAATGCGCATCGATCCGAAAATCTGCTGCCAGCTAGTGATATCGAACTTCAAAAAAAGGGAGGTCTGCCACCGCCGGAGGAAAAAGTAGAAAAACACATGTACAAGCCAAACTTGGTGCGCCCATCGAGCGGTGGATTTCTGCGGAAACGGGACCAATTCTAGCTTATTCACCGCACCGGCACTTGCAGAACACTTGGCACAAGATTTCACTCTGAATCGAATGGGAAATACTGCTTAATCTTACACAAATTAGCAATGCTACGAAAGTAGAGCGAACTTACTTTAAATCCGACATTTTGGTTAATTTTGCTTTGACATTTGGCGAGTCGGTATCATCAGAAAACGAAACTGACAGCCGTTGAATGTCGACTCGGGCAGAGAGACCGACCATCAGGGGAAGGGTTTGCATAAGTGGGGGCAAAGCAATTCGCGATAGCATACCCGCATAATAATTTATATTAAGCTTTCTTTATTTAGCGAGGCAACTCTTCCATTTTCTCAGTCTTCTTGATTTGTTGTCTTCGCTTTCAGTCTGAGGCTGGTTCGCCTCCGGCATATAAATTTAGTCACCTATAATTCTCGTTTTCGTTCAAATCGCTTTTCCATAAGAACTTTTTTTTTGTATGGAAAATACGGTTCGAACTACACACAAAAAAAAGTTGTTGAATATTACATCCAAACTGCTGCAACCAGGTCGGTTGTGTAATATAACGTTGTACCGTACGATGTACATCGATTTTGCGACCAAAATTACATCCATTGATGTAATATTGTATCTGCTTTTTGCTATTACATCATTATTTCATACATCAGCTTGAATTACATTAATCGATATTACATTGTTTTACTGTGTAGAGAGACCCTCTCAAGTTCGAACGAAAACAATAATATCACTGATAAATTAAACTATTCCCATTTTGCTTGAAATTTAATCAATTTGACATTAAACTCAGTTTCATCATATCGAATGATTAAAAATTAATCCTCTCTTTCTAAAAAATAAGCATCTGATATTAATCCCAGTTTAATCATGGTTGATTGGATTGCAAATTATCTTTTTTTTTGAATAAATTTCAATCATTTTTGATTCTATATTAATAATTTTTGATTTAATTTTATTCTTTTTTGATCATATATCAGTATTGAAAAAGAATAAAATTTAATACTGGAAAGATTATTTCGATTTTAATCATGCAAGACTACTGCCGAAGTAATCATGGCTCAGACTCAATAAGGTGGAGCGGGAATCTGCATACTTTTAAAGCTTTTTTGATTTAATTTATCTATTTCCGTTAATGTTTTACGATTAATAAATCTGTTACCGCGAGGCAATTAATTTAAAATCAAAGCCATAAAAAAACAATTGTAACCATGATATCAAGAGCAAATTTTCATTATGTCGCAAGTAACATTCGCACCAATCCGAGAAAAATAAAGTTTTGTTTTGATGACCGAAAAGTTATTCCTATTTCCAAGTAAACACATATAATCTCATTGTGATAGCAATGTTTAACATATTTAGCAGGGTTTTAATCATACAAATGCAAATCGCTAGCTTTCATACTAAAAAATACTGGTTTTTTAGTCAAAAGTTATTATACGTCGTTTGGTGGCCCCTATTTTTACTTAAGTCATAGTGTATTTACCAGGATATTTGGGAGAATTGTCAATTACGTCTCCTTACGTGCAGCCCATTCATCATTTTAGGACCACCGAAATCATCTTAGCAACAAACAGTTCGATTTATTCACTTTAATAATGAGAAAGCGAAACGACGAACGTACACTTTTCACGGGTTTCTCAGCGCTGTTACTTAAGTCAAACGGCATCTCCATAGAAATTGGGTGACTTAAGTAACATCGAAAACTATTTTGATCGGAAGGTGATTACGTCAAAAAGCAATTTGACTGGTGAATAAATTTAAAAATGGGATTTGATCCTATATTCGGACAGTATATAGTGTAATAGCAGGAGAATCGATTGACACTGATAGCTCGACTTTGTTTACCTTTGTTAATTTCGACGTAATGAAAATTTGCTCTTGATATTTATTGTCAAAACATTGGACACTTTGTCGATTACCATAAAATCACAACGAAATTCATGGTTCACAACAATGAAAATCATGGTATTTGATGAATTTGCAGTAACAAAGGGGGGTTGTTAAGCATCTGAACAATAAAACACTGATTTTTTTTAGAACAAATTTGATCTTATCACATTGACTTTCATTGTTTGAGCATTGTATCGGTTAAAAACGAATTTTATTTTATCTCCCGTACAACAATTTAACAATAAATTTCAATATACTCTAAATTAAACAGTAAAAATTATTGTAATTTCGTTGTTTTATTGCACTCATAAAATTCGACACATTTTGATTGGCGAATTTCCATGTAATATTTCACATGATTGCCAACAAACAATTCAAAGTCACAAATAAGCATACACATTGAATAAATGCTGTATAACAGTGTACAATGCTGAATAAAACAGGATGTCGAATTATGTGCTGAAAAAAAAACTAATTGAGATCGATAGATCCGCCTTTATTCCGCCGTTGGCTCTGATATGATTAATTTCCTTATTAAAAGCTTTATAAACGTTGACTGTCTTCCTGTTTCAGAACCAGAAGTTTGATCTAATAACAAACTGAATAAGTGTAATTCGCACATACATTGTCGCTTTAATACGACTGTTTTCAATTGATTTAATAAAATGCTTTATTAAACGCCTTATAAATGTTTTCTAGCTCCATTATTAGATTTCATTACATTGCTTTACAATACTGCTGTATAAAGATAAATACAGTCAGAAAAATAGCTCTTATACCACCCAACAAACAATTCAGAGTCACAAATAAGCATATATATTGAATGAATGCTGTATAACAGTGTACAATGCTGAATAAAAAGAGTTGTCGAATTATGTGCTGAAAAAGCTCATTGAGATCGATAGATGCACATTTATTCCACTGTTTGCTCTGATCCGATTTATTTACTTATTAAAAGCTGTAAAAGTGTTTAATGTCTTTCCAATTCAACGCCAGAAGTTTGATCTAATAACAAACTGAATAAGTGTAACTTGTACATACATTGATACTTTAATTCGACTGTTTACAATTGCTTCAATAAGATGCTTTATTAGACGTCTAATAAATGTTCTCCAGCTCCATTATTAGTTTTCATTGCATTACTTTACACTATACAGTCAGTATAATTGCTTTTATACCACTATGCGTCCATGCCTTAATCGCATGCCTTGTAAATGCTTTAGAAACGACGTATTAGATTCATTATTCCTCAACATTGGTTCAATCTAACAACAAGACGAAATCAGTAGAGTAGTGGTTACTGTTTCCGCTTTCCAAGTAGAAGGTCATGAGGTCAATCCCAAGCTAATTTTTTTTTATTTGTGTTCTACGCCTAATTAGTAGTAATCATCGATCACATGACTCACGACAATGAATGCATTGATCTAAAATTAAAATATAACCGAGCATCCTTTCTTTCGACTTGGAGAGGCAACATTGGTCTCATTTAAAACAACGATGAATGAATGAATCATTCCCACAGGGCCTTGAAGGAGCTAGAGTTGCCATCGGGAGGTATTTACTTTCAAGCAAGCTTTTATTGATTATTGAGTTCCCAAGCAGCAAAACTTCGGATTAAAAGCCCTTTTTTGGCTTAATCAGCTAATCAAAGGATTATGAAAAGAATTCTATTCAGCTTACTTTTTAAGTTATTAACCGAACTTCCAAGTTCACATTCGATGTTTAAGCTTCTAATAGAATACTGTTTCACTTTTAAAAAGAACTTGAAAGTTCACAAACGGTTCGTTTAACCGTTGGAAGGAATGCTATTCAGCCCAAAAAGAAAACTTGAATGAAATCAACAAACCAAAATATAAAACAAATATATCTATCGTTTTGCTGCTCACCACGTTTTCTTCTAATTTATTATGAGCTGCTACGTTGTCGGAAGATGAATGTTTGAAATATGGTCAAATATTTAATTTAAATTACATGTTTTTAAATTACTTACCGCTAGTCTCGAACTCGAGTCCTCCTCTTTGAAACCGAGATACATGCCACTGCTCTATGTGAACGAAGTGGAATATCATATGATTTTACTCAATGTGTTGATTTCATTCATAAAAATGGTTTTCAGAGTAGCCAAATCTACTTTCAAGTTCCGTAAGAACTATTTTTGAACTTCAAAGTCTCTGATTAGTTCATGTAGAACCTCATCTGAACTTGAAAGTTGCTAAAAAGTTCATACGGAACTTATTGTGAACTTGCACCGTTTGACATTTGACAGCTTGTTTTGTTTTCCGCAGAAGTTTTCAGTAACCTCGAAAAATACGAAACAATTTGACTTAACTGTAGTAAATGTACCTGTTTTGAGACTTGTTTTATTCAGAAAATCATCAAGGTATGATAGTGGAACGCAAACCTCAATGCAATTTATTAAAATACAATATATTTTTTACTTATATACAGAAATGCCATTCGCCATAGTAGAAACATTGAACGCTCGAGGCTGTAAAGAGCTTTGGTCGTTCCAGATCAATGGCTGCAGAAATCAAAAAGTGGACACATTTTGTTCTGGCCACACGCAAACAGTGTCGCAGAACAAGATAAAATTGATCCGTGATGAAAAAAGCTGCTAGAAAGTGACATTTCTAAATTTGCTTACAAGTTCAAGTCAAGGTTCAAGTTGAACTTTCTTCGAACTTATCTAGAACTTTACTTGAAAGACTGAAAGAAGTTCAACTTAGATTAATTGTGAACTTTCGCGCTGCTTGAAAGTACGGTTAGTACTAAGATTGAACACAGTTCAAAAAAACGGGAACAAGAAATTTTTGTTGAACTTTCAAGGTTCCAATAAATAATGGCGGTACTTTAAAGAGGATTAAGTTCTGTTTGTACGTGTAGTGCCATCCCTAAAAAAATTTGCTTAACGACGTGTTCTGGGTATCATCCAAACCATTTATGGAATAGTTCAATGATTTGGGTTATCGTTCGTTTATGGTTATTTTTTATTAGGGTTGTTAATCAGCAAGAAAGTTCCACGGAACTAAATTTGAACCAGATGTGAACTTTTGAGTTCGTTTCTCAAGTAAAATCCAAACTTTAGGTTGCTTGGGTTGCCCATATGATGAATTCTAGGATAGCTCAGATGACAAGGCAAGCAGTTGGTGATCGGAAGGTACATGGTTCGAATCCCATGCAACAAGTATTTAATAAATTTTCTAATATCTGTGTAATGCGAGCCACGTCAGAAATAATACAATACAATACACTTAAGAAACACACCCTTCCCTGTCCTGTCCCCTGTCCTTCTTATTTTCGGTTTCATTTTCCCACAGTTGAATAATCGTTTAATAAATGTATAATAATGTCTAATTAAACGTTACTTCACATGAGAATCAAGCGTATACAGAGCATCATTATTTTAAGGAAGCAGTGGATGCCTAATAAACGCTGAATATTCAAAAAAAAATATCGTATAAACTCTGTTATAACTCATATAAGTCGAATAAAACCTTCTCGACATACCTTATACAACACCAAGTAGTTCAATGTTGTGGTTGAATAAGTTCTCCAGATTTGTGTGAACAAAGCCTGAAAAGAAGTTATTATTAAAAATAGTACAAGTACTATTAAGCATGCAGTTAAGATTAGTTTTCCTTCTTTGTTCATCCTTAAGCGAAGGATAATAATCTAATGTTTAAACGTTACAAATGTTCGAATTCTTATTTGTAGAGCCATATCGGATCTGAGTTACAAAAGCAATACATGAGCATATTGAGAAATCCCGGTTCCGAAAAGGACATAGTATATAAGGACTCGAAAACATAGAAGAACTCTTAACCTAGAAGTGAAAGCTTCTCTCCTTAACCGGAGAAAAAGTAGCTCCTAGAATCAAAAAACAGTGTCTGACTTAGTAAGCGAAAGACTCTCCCTAACCAGAGAAAAAGTAGCTTTTGGCCGCGAATACGAATTTAACGCTCAATTTGTTTTTCTTAGTTGGCAGTGCTGAAGCATAGAGGTAACTCTAAGACTAGAAGGTCCCGAAATAACGTGCTCAACTTTTTGGCTCAGCTCTGGTACTCTCTTCGGTCCCAAGCTAATCGATTCACCCCTCGAAACATAGGAAAAACCAATAAACCCTCATTTTATCTGTCAAACTTTCATAGCGAATCAAAACAAACATTGCGTAGTACTAGAATTTCGACTAGAATGGGGTCCGTTAATCGTTTGCTTGGAACCAATAGGCTAGTCAAGTAGTGAGCCAATTTAAAATCGTTAGTTTCGTATTGATTGTTGGCTGAAGCCCGTGTCGCGCATAGTCAATTACAGTAGTTTACAGTAGAAATACTTTTGAGCCAAATGACCTGCCAAAATCTGAGCCAATCGAACATTCCCATTAGAATTTGTCCGAGGATTTCTTATTCTTACTAGATTAAATTTGAAAGTATTGCCAACAATCAATACGAAACTAACGATTTAAATTGGCTCACCACTTTAGTAGCCTATTGGTCCCAAGCAAACGATTAACGTACCCTATTCTAGTTGAAATTCTATTACTACACTATGTTTGTTTTGATTCGCTATGAAAGTTTGACAGATAACATCAGGGGTGTGTGGATTCATGCAGAACATGCAGGGGTGAGTGAAATAGCTTGGGACTGCTTGGGACCGTTGTTCTGGTACTGAGTGAGCCAAAAATAATAATGATTTTCTTCGGGACCCAGTGGTCTTAGAGTTACCTCTATGGTATTGCCATCGAACAAAAATTCAATCACCTTCATGTTTCGTGTGCATCTCAAATTAAACTAGTTTTTGGAATCAAAAACTACAAGGGACAGCCTTGTGGGGTTGTACCATAGAGATAACTCGAAGACCAGTAGGTCCCGAATTAACGTGCTGAACTTTTTGGCTCAGCTCTGGTACTATCTTCGGTCCCAAGCTAATCGATTCACCCCTCGAAACATAGGAAAATCCACTAACCCCTCAGCCAATTTAAAATCGTTAGTTTCGAATTGATTGTACGTTGTACGCAGTGGTGACGTAGGACTACGTGGTCTTATATAATAAATCTAGGAAGGAATAGAAATTAGAGCGGGGTTCTTTCTGTTTATACTCTTTAGTATGACGCGCTTGACATAGATGGCCCACAGCAACTCACGAAGAGCTACTGATTTCGATCAATAGCGGTGCGGCTTCTTCCTCCTTCTATGGATGCTCATCTGCCGCTCAAAGGTAAATGCTTCGAACGAATTTGATAGCAAAGATTACATCCTCAGAAGAAGGGTTTGAGTATTTGCTCATTTTTCTATGCGTTGCTTCCACTTTCACTAAAGCGCAGCGCTATTGTATCTGTCGCTTGGATTCTGGCAAAGTTGCCAGTCTTCTTGATATGATGTCTTCGGTTAAATCCAAATATGTAGTTTAAAAAAATCTCAGTTGGATAGTTTTCGAGGTATAGCTAAAAAATGAAATTTTACTTTTAAAAAATGCGTTTACTAAAATACAAATATCTCCGATTGTAATGAAGTTATATTTATTATTTTAACGCCTTTATTTTTTTTTTGAATTAAAGATGATAAAATTTACTTTCGATTGTTCAAACACTATTTTCCAGTGAGATTAGTGGTACAACCACTACAAACATTTTTATTTACACTGCTAAAAAACTTAGCAGAAATTCAATTTTTCTGGGAAAAATGTAAAATATAAAATTAAACAAACAAACAATTAATTTATTAACAACAATAACACTAATTTCACTGACAATTTATAATGGTTTTTTTTTTCTTGGATGTTTTCCGTCGATCTTGTTTTCCGTGCGGAGCATCAATGCTACCGACGCCAGGAAGGCAGCTCCTACACCTGGACCCTACCTATCGTCTATCCCATCATCTCATGAACCGGGGACCAACGGCTTTACATCCCGGCGACGCCAACTGGGATTGAACCCAGGCCTGCTGGGGTGAGAGGTAATCACGCTTACCACTACACCACCGGCACCGCTTGATTGATAATGGGTTAATCGAAAGAAAAATTTCTTACCTTTAATTTGATGTTAAAATAATTTATATGGTCTCATTACAACCGGAGATATTTGTATTTTAGTAAACAAACTTTTTTAGAGTAAATTTTCATTTTTTAGCTGTAGGGTTAACTACCCCATTTTCGACCTATTAAGGACAACCCGCACTTACGGCCGATTTCTTCACCTCCGCTTAAGCATTAAACCAGGTTTAATTATACGGGTAAACCTGGTTTAAGATTTAAGCGGAGTTGAAGAAATCGGCTCTTAGTCTTTCTTAATCTAGCGCAGTTTAGCACCAAACAGAATGTTATTATTACTAAAGGCATCCAAATTTATTTACCTTTCCGTTGATAAAGAAAAACCAATCTTTGAGATATTGTCAAAAGTCTAACACTGCTTCTTGACGCTAATTTCGAACCTACAGATTCTAAACTCGGCCTAACGCATTGAAACGCCAATGAATTCACTTCGGCCTATCGTATGAAGATAAAAATTGATTCGGTCGGAGCGCTTCTTTTGTTTTTGGAAATAATGGGTGCAAATCTTCATATCACGTGTTCTCATTAACTTAGTTTGGTAGCTTATTAACTAAAGTATCGTACCAAACGCATAATTGACTTGTTAACTCTGAAATCATGGATTTATTCGAAGTTTTTTGCTCGATAGGCCCAAAATGGGCGATTAGGCCGAAGTAGTTCTCTACCCTATCTCGAAAACTACCCTACTGAGATTTTTTTTACTAATTTTTTGGACTCCGTGCACGATTTCTTTTTAGATTCGTCAAAGATTCTAGTTAATTGTTTTACTTTTATTTGTAAACTAGTGTTATCGATTCACTTTTGTTTTTTAGGTCCTATCTACATTGACATTCTCTTTGGATCGCCACGACAGTGTTATGCAGATATTTTCGATACACAGATCGAGAAGAAGCAACAATCTAGCATCTAATGCGAATCGCAGGAAACGTGTTTGTAGCCGAGTTATTTACGAAAGAGAGAATCGATCAATATACTGCTGTTAGTCCTGCCCTGCGATTTATCTGCCTATTAATTTCTCAGAAATACACAATTGAGATATATTGTATCCGGATCCGGATAAAGGAGATTCCCCGGTCGAGTTTTTTTTTCTCTACTTTGAAATAGTTTACCATTATGGCAAGATTTTATTAACCATTCCATCGGTTAGTTAAGTCCCTCCGTAAGCCCTGAAACAAAAACGGATTTTCTCATTCCTTCTATTACGAACTACATACAAAGCAAGGTAAATTACAATGAAACAATAAATTATATTATCATTCCTTCGTGTGTACGATAAATCATTTTGTTTACTTAAATGTTTCTCAGCTCATCTTGTTTGCACATTCTGTGTCTTTTCACGATTCGTCACATCTGCGCAAACATCACACATTTTCAAACGTTGTAATTAGGTATTCTTTAAAAGCTAAAGAGTGTGTGGGATTCCTTATGAATGTAAAGACAGTTTTAATAAGTGGTTTTATGACATAAATGTTTTTTGAAGAGTGAAACTTTTCCTTCGCTAGTAGCCCCTTTCCTACCCCAGTCTCATCTGATTGTTGCTACAATTAAACAAATCCCTAACTCTCCTTCTCTCTGCTCAGGATATAGCCCCACCCGGGCCCAGCACTCGATGCCCTTCTTACGATCCGACGATGATGTTGTTGATCGGGATGTGTATCAGTTTGACAAAGAAACCGATAAATCCCATAATGCAGAACCCGATGGCCGTGGCGATGGCAATCTTCTGGAACTCGCGCCGATCGGGCTTGGTGCAGCGCTTGATCAATCGGATCGAGTCCTTGGCGAAGGAACGGCCCGGTTCGTAGATCTTGGCGATTTGATCCATTGCTTGCCTGCATGCGGAAAAGGGAGTAAGAGTTCATTATAAATGCATGTACTGAAATAAGTATCTGCTGATGAAGCAATGAAATGTGACACGAAGATTTGCGTCAGTGTATTGGTTGAAGATGTGGCAGTGAAAGTCCACCGTGTAACAAATTGTATGCCATCTAATTAGCAATATAATACTGATACTACGAACCAATTAGTAAGAATTAAGCAATAGTCCGCTTGTTAACAAGTTCAACATGTTAAAACTAATATCAACTGACGGTAAATATCAGATAATTGGTAATCAGTGCGCAGATTAGTGCCACATTTCATTGGTCGAATTTAGCTGGAAATAACCAACAAATTCCACACAAAACATATAATCCACACTGTACTTACTTTAATTAACGTCGGTAGAGAAGAATCCCACACAATAGAGCACAATTTTCACGAAAATTTCGACTTTTTCACAAACCACACAAACTACGTTGCTTCTGCACGGGCGAACGAATGAAAAGTAATGAATTTCTCTGCTGCTCCCCTTCTTTGCTGTGCTGCTGTGTGGAACCCCAACTGTCAAAATTGATTCCACGTCGGATGAACGCGAAGAAAAAGCGACGCAACGTCATCGGGGCAAAATGGCCGAAGCGTTACCAATTGTCAGGGGGGTGTAACGCACGGTGACGCGTTGGATAGTGTCATGAAATATGATTTTTATTGGTTAAAATAAAATAATGAGGAAACCGCTTGATTTTTTTCATAACAATTAATTTAATAAAAACCTTCAACCGAAATTTTACAACTGTAACAACAAATACAACCGATCACCTTATTCCTCCTACAATCACCAGCCCTCTACCCACCAACGATGACCCGTTCAAAGGTACCACTTTTGAAGTCGCAAACGTTGCACTGAAATCCGGAATCGGCCAGTAAATTTCCCTGAAATGGACAAAAATTCCATTAAATTATTCTCGCGCTTTTAATATTCAATCCCTCACCTGCAAACAATAATAGCAGAACACATGTCCGCACCCCATATGATGGGGCAGTGTCACCCGCTCGGTGCAGTACACACACCTGCTTCCCACATCCAGCTCGATCCGCTTTACCTCCTGCAGCCCACTCTCCATCTTCAGGAAATTCCTCAACCTCCGCTTCAACGCATGATAGTTGATAACCGGCACCGTAAAGCCCAGCAGCTCCATAAAACCGGCCCATATCAACTCGCGCGTCATGAACGAATACCCGATCGTCCTTCGCTTGGCTCCATCGATCGACCGGTGATCCAATCGGAGCACGTAATCCACCAGCGACGGCTTGCGTCCCGTTCGCAAGAAGCGAAAAAAGTTGATGAAATTCATACAGGTTAAGCAATTTTCCACTATCGTTATCAACCGCTGGAGGAATGTGACGCTTGTCAGCCGAAACTGGACCAGTTCCTTCAGGTAGCTCAGTGCGACTGTGAGGGCATAGTGGGCCTTCAGCTTTCCGGTACCGAGCTGCTCCTGTTCGTAGGTGATCGAAAGCATCTGCTGACCGAATGTGGCAAACGATTTTCGGATGGAGAAGTTCCACAAAGCGGAACTCGCCAGCAGATTGATTTCCGGCTGAAAGCGGCTGAGGAGACCGGGCTGCAAATTAGATCGTATTTTGAGAAGTTATCATCAAATTCAATACGTAGGCACTCAAGGCTAACCGGAAGGTTCCGAAGAACGCTGTAAATTTGCTCCTTCAGTATGTTGATAATCTCGTTGTCCAACTGGATGGAATCAAGCTGCAAAGATCGTTTATGATGAATATAATGGCTTTGAAGGATAATTCAATTGAAATTTGCCATACCTGATTCACTCGAGGAACGAAATTCGTTTTCATGTTGGTGGAAAAAAAATTAAAACTTGAATAGAAGTTTTTCACAATTTAGACTAGGGCAAACGTTCCCATACTATTTCATGCTAAAGCTGAGGTTTTTAATGCTATTAATCGATAATATTTTCTTTGTTAAAAGGTTCTATCAGTGGGATCGTGGGGATCGTAGACTAACAAAATAAATTAAGAAAAAATAGTTCCAAATTTTGTTTTCGTAGTTTTGTTTTGATCATGCCGTCCTTCCGTGCACGAAAAACTGTTCCGAAAATGCTTCGAAAACAAATCTCCGCCAGTGATGCCAGATGAAAATTTCAAAATTCTAGTTACACGGAAACTTTCATTTATACCTCGATTTTAACTCAACGATGATTAAAATTAAAGCACTTTTTATATCTATCTCTTTTCCGTTGATCTTGTTTTCCGTGCTGAGCACCAATGCTACCGACGCCAGGGAGGCAGCTCCCACAACTGGACTCTACCTATCGACCCATCAACTCATAAACAGGGGACCAACGGCTTTACTTCCCTTCCGAAGGAAGGCGTTATAAGAGATGTTAACCTAATAAAAAATACCATAAACGAACGATAACCCAAATGATTGAACTATTCCACAAATGGTTCGGATGATATCCTGAACACGTTGTTAAGCAAATCAACCATAACATTTTTATAAGGGAATGCCTCAGAACATCGTGACGGCCCGACCCTTTATCCTCGAAGTAACCCGCCTAAATGGGAACCATTCGCGAATTGGTAATCATTAATGTACAGGCAACCAAAGTGCGATATATTCCACATGAAGTTGATCGATGTTACAAAACCATCTATGGACCTTACTGACTACCATAACCATTACCATTAAATTTCTCAAACCATAAGTAGAAATATTCCAATATAGTTCTCTTTCCGAAAATGTATGGAGAAAACAACTATTTTGAATGGTAATGGCGAGGGTAATGGTTCTTAACAACCCATTATTATATATTACCCAAAACCTGTTCCACCGATAACGCGAGACAAATCCGTTGAAATTCCGTAGAACCTCCTTTGAGAGAACCACCGAAATCGTGTAGAAGCCTCTCCACATTGAACGTGAGAAATCTTCATCGTAAGTTCCTGGAACCTCCACTTGCATCATCAGGAATGTAACACGAATGTAATTTATTTAGTCAAACGTAACCTGGTGGATGAACCCTTTATAAGGACAAAGAAAATATCCTTGAAGGTTCATTGGAAGCATCTAGAATCGTCTCCGAAATCCTGCAGAAACTTGCTGGAACAGAACCTTGCAAAACCTCTTTAGCTCCGTTGGCAGCATCTGAATTCTCGTGGAGAGTTTTGACGAAGTTTTTGTGTGTTCATGGCGGAGAGGATACCGCATGATTTCAGTGGATCCAGTTGAGCTTCAAGTGAGTTTTGACGGTGTTTTCTCTCATTTTCACTGAAGGAGGTTCAGCACGATTCCGGTTGGAGGTTCCAGTAGGTTTAGATAGAGTTTATCGCGTCCGATGCTTCCAGTGGTTCCAGGGAATTTCAATGGATTTTTCCGCGTTCTCAGTGCAGGTTTCGGTGGAGATTCCCAATGATGTCCACGGAAGTTTCAGGGAGTTTTCTCGCATTCTTAGTGGAGGATGTTGTGCACAGTTCTGGTGCTGCCTATGACTAGTTTGGAGAATTTCATAGTAGTCTTCTTGCGTTTTTGGTGGAAAAGCTTCCACACGATTTCGGTGGAGGTTTGTAATGCTGCCAACGGGAATTTAAGCGGATTTTTTCCGCGTTCTCGGTCGAGGCACTTCTGGAGTCAGGAATCTGGATTTGAGCAAGCCGAGGTGAACAATAAAACAGGACAAAACCTTCCATGCATGTAGTTGGTAGGAGTTGTCACTTGGAGCCACACGCAACAAATAATGCATTGAAAAAACGCATTTAATTATTTTTTAGATGGCTAGAACTGAATTTGATATTTTTTAATATAATAAATGCACCTCAAGTGTTCTGCCTCTAATAGGTAAGAGACCAGTGTTTCAACTCCCATAAATAAAATGCCCAACCAAATTAGATGGGCCAGACAAGCGATAACGTGCAAGACGAATGGTTCATGGTCTCATTGCTGTTCCACCTCACCCGGCGTATTCTTGGTCTGCTGGCCCGTTGTAGTCGATTTGGAGGGGAATACCTGTTGATCGAAGCCACCGAAAAACTTAGAAGCTTTTAAAACACTTTAGAACGGTTAGGGCATCTTTAGCGGTGGTCTGATCTAGATCGAAATTTATGTCACATTTGAACCAGCTAAAATTAAAAGGATCAAGCAAAAATAGATCAAACTGTGTGCGTACGCACCGGTTGGTCTATTTTTGGCCGTTCTATTTCAAACGTCAAAACCCGAGTCAAAACCAACTCACACCCTGATATCGTGGTCAGCCATTTTTTAATCTCCTTCTCATTCATACATGGTTTTTATCCGGCAATTACCGTGAAATTGACCTCCGATGGCTGTCTCCGGGATTAATGTGTGGCTTTAACAAAAAGCCTTGAACTGCCCGTCCTCCTGCTCCTCGTGCTTCCCAGTGAAATAATAATAAAAACATGTATTTATTGAAATTTGTCTGGTATTGTTGCGTGTTGGGTTTTGGCCAGGGTTTTGACCCAAGTCAGAAACTGGACAATTCCCTGGGGGTACCCGGAACATACCAGAATGTGGCCAATGTGGATCTGGACACTATATTTGACTTAAACTGATCTTGTTTTTCAATTTCTGTGAGATTTTATGTGTCAAATCACAGGGTTTGGATCATATCAGAAACTAGTCACTTCCCTAGGGGTTTCTGAAAGATGCTTGGAAGTAAAAAAGGTGGTACTGGGAACATTATTTGACTTCCATTGATCTTGGGTTTGAAATCTTATGTGATTTACTATGTGGCGCATGATGGGTTTTGGATTAAATCAGAAACTGGCCATTTCCTTTTAGGTGCCCGGAACATATCCGATAGGGGTCAACATGATTCTGTGCACTATATTTGACTACCATTGATATTGCTTTTGAAATCTAATGTGATTTGATGTGTCCAGGGGGTAAGTCACTCTGCCACCTTGTGACTGTGCTGATTGTGTTTCTTGTGTGTTTTTCGGTGTTTCAGGGTGTTTCTGTGTCAAATGAACTGTCAAAACGGCAACATACAATGTTTACTGGTAACCATGACTTCCACATCGCTGAAAATGACAGATCCCCCTGCGATCGTCGTTGTTTATTGGCGTTGACGGTGACTCTGTATACAGGTATAGCCTAGAGCATCCCACTCTAAACTATAGATCTAGTATCAATTAAGTATTTCAAAGTATCTGATAAGTATTCTTAAGTCTTTTTAAGTATTTTTAAGTATGTTATGTTTTTGATTTTTTAAATCGTAGTGAGCGGTTACTAATGTATTTGTTTGTTGTTGTATATTCCGTTACGTTTAATCACGTACTATTGATGCTAGTTTCAATCTGTTTTAAAATTAAGGAAATAGTGTAATCATGTGTATGAGTAAGTATTTTAATTCTACTTATGAAACATTTCATCAAAGACCAGTTTTCTTTCAGCAAACCAGTTAATTATTTATAATTTCGAACTGGCTGTTCAGTAAGGTTTCAAAGTTTGGAGTTCTATAACTTAGCTGGAGGCTAATGGTGCGGGTGTCGTTGGCCTTTCTAACCAACCAGTCTGAACCGCAAGCTGTATGAGTATGAAATTCTTGACTTTATGCTGGTCAAGAATGCTAGGACTACGCTGGTTATTTACCAGAGAACAATAGCAATACAATGAAGTGTAACTGCTAGCAAGTTGTTGGGTTGGTTGACTAGAAATTGAAGTGATTGCAATTGCCACTGGTGGTCGTATCGTGCTGCGTTTTGAGAAACTTACATCTGTAAAGATGAGTTACGACGGACTGGTGAGGAAGCTGAGTGAGTATCCTGATAGTAACCGAAGGCTTTATATGAAATAAACATGAATTTCTCACTTTTAGGCTTCGAAACCAATAAGTATAACAAGGAAAAAATTCATTTATTCTGAAATATCAATTTATTTCAAATAATTGATGTACCAAATACAACGATTTAGTTCAAACCCGCTATTTATTTGTTTCCATTTCGTGTAAAAAAATCCTAAGATAAAATATATGAATTTATTTCAAACTATTCCCCAAACAAATGCCAAACTATTCTTCAAAATATCCCCATATTTATGTCTTAATACGTAACAACCGTTTCTGATGAATGATGGAATCAATTAGAGAGCGGTTCCGAAATTAACACCAAGCGAATATGTTGGTATGATCATGTCCAGCCTTAATAATAATAAGTCTTAAGCATTGAAGGTTCCAAATCCGAGGAAATGTGATTAACTTCTACAATAAACTCATTCGGCTGTAATCTAGGAGATGTGGCTTTCCGGATGTTATACGTGCGGATGGTGCGGAAATCTTTCAAAACTTCTTATTCAGCTTCAATCAACGTAAATGCCTGAAGCTATCGTCCGTTGGATCAAGATCCTGTTGGACAAAAAATATGTTTTTATGGAGAGATGGTTTGGGATAGAAAAATTTGTTTAGAGGATTTGCTTCCACACGCAGTTTATTCCATAGTAACTTTCCAAATAGTTCCTTATTCTCCCTTTGAATGACAGATAAATCGGTTTGGCAATATAATATTCCTTGAATCGAAATTGCTCTTCCTCGATCCCTACAAAAAAGGAATACATTTCAAAATTATAGTTGATTTTTCTAAACACGCATACACCAAATCCCAGATGACAGCGGGTAAATTATCGAAAGAAATCTCTCTAGCAATGGTGGTAACAAACTAGCGCTAAATATTTCTTAAGTATTTTTAAGTATTTTCAGGTATCTTAGATATCAGTAAGAGCTTTCTAAGTATAATGCGAGAAATACAAAGTTTAGAGTGGGATGCCCCTAGGGTATAGCTCTTTACTCCTATGGTAAAATCCTGTAAAATTCAATAAGCAAACGACAGTCTGTGCGTGATACATGGCGGAATTGATGCACATCTTCGTAACGGACCAGATCGTGGCCAAGTCCCGTTTCTGGTATTTCCTGCGGCAGCTGCGTAAGTTCAAGAAGGCCACCGGTGAGATTGTCTCGGTCAAGCGTATCCTGGAGAAAACTCCGCTGCGCGTGAAGAACTTCGGCATCTGGCTGCGCTACGATTCCCGTCCCGTACCCACAAAATGTACCGCGAGTATCGTAATCTGACCGTTGGCGGTGCTGTCAAGCAGTGCTATAGCGATATGGCTTCGCGCCACCGTGCCCGTGCCCACTCCATTCAGGTGAGTTGCTTTTTGATAGTATTGACCCGGAAAGAATCACTGATGCGAATGTTTTTCCAACAGATCATCAAGGTCGCATCGGTTGAGGCCTCCAAGACCCGTCGTGCTCACATCAAGCAGTTCCACGACTCGAAGATCCGCTTCCCGCTGGTGCAAAGATACCACCACAAGCGCTACAGGAAGCTGTTCTCTTTCCGCCGACCGGATACTTACTATCAGTAAACCAGGAGCCGCCGTTCATGTACTGTTAATTCCACTCTTTTTTAGGGAGTAAAAATGATGAAGATCCGTAAGAAACCATGAGAACATTCTTCGTGATTCGTTGAGAAAGAAAATCCGTGAGTGGAATAAAAGTGGATCCTAAGGAAGTTGGTTCAATGCTTCCCTTGAGAACAAATATTTTGTGAAGATGGATGAGTTTGAATTGGCGATTTCATGCCGCATTAAATTTAGCAATGACGGACATTCGTAATTGAGTAATGCGGTGTGAACATTTCAAAAGGGCCGAATTACTTTTGTAAACAATGGCTTTAGACGTCGATTACTCGCGAATGAAAGCTCACAGCTGGTAAACTTCGCCCCGTACTGTATAAGACTGGTAGTTCTCTACGGGCACGAGTCTCTCGAAACGGATTTCCCATACAACGGAATAGAGAAAGGGGTGATCGACAAATTTGATTGTAATTTATCATCATGACATCTTCATCTTCGTCATGTTCGGTAGCATTTGTCGACTCAAGCTTGAGGTTGGCAACCAACGGAGACGGTATTGTTGATGAACATTGAGTCTCGGTAAAATGAGTCGTTTAACCATTTTGCTGATGGTCGTTCTCGATCCCGATCGTATTCTCTATATCGCCCATTTCAATTAGAGGAAGCTTCCTCGGAGGAGGTGAAGCTTCTAGGTAAGCGACATCTGACGAAAGGCGTTTGATGACTTCTGATGCCAGTGAATCATGCAGCTTAGCAACATGCCGCGTGAAACTAAAGATGTTCCAGTTTTCAGAGGCATCGGCGATGGCTGTTAGCTTTGTGGTCTGCCCGACCAACGTGCACAATGGACATGTTATGTCAGCTCTGAACTGTCCTGAGCTTGAAACCGTGGCGATCGAAATTTTCAAGTTGGACATAAACTCCTGGAGGTTGAGACGATATTTCCTAAGAATAAATTAGTATTTAAAAAAAAAAACAAAACGAAATTCAAACTTGTAATATGTAAAAAAAAAAGCTTTAAGTAATGAAATATGAAGAATAAATATATTCTGAAAAAATCATACAAATGCAAGAAACGTCATACAATATAGTATAGTATTAAATACATAATTGAATGTGATTACTTAAGATTAAGACATACGGATTAGAAAAATGTGCCGAAATCTTGAGCCAAAGTCTGTCAAACTCATCGGTAGCGAACTCGTGTCTGAACTGTCCATGTCCATTTCCCCGATTTTCATCACCAGACGGATAAACGTCTTGACCCCATGAGTTTGGATGATGTTCGCTAAGTCCATTAGACATAAAATCTCCCCCTCGAGGAATTTAAATTGATGCGGTCAGCCTGCAACCCGCCCATACACGCTTTCAAGCGAGGGACCACCAGCATGCGCTTTTGCGACATCCTCCGCCATCTCTCGCAGATCTTGTTCGACAAGCATTATCTCTTTCCTGGTCAATCTACCAAGCGATTTATTGCATAGGTTAGACATGATCAGTATAGTTTTTATATGAGTATGAATGCTTCCATACATTTCTTCCAGTTTTTGCCAAAAGTAATCCTGCAATAAAATTCGGTGTTAACTATAAACAATTAAAAATGATGAACTGTAATAATATCGCGAAAATAAATTTACAAATTTTAAAAACAACCCAGGAAATAACCGCAGAATAGAGATTAAAATATACATAAAAACCTACAGCAAAAAAATCGCTGATATCCTGGGTCACATAAATAAACCAAGCGTTCTAAATAATTTGGCAGGTTAGTTTGGTTTGTTTACTCATTTGAGAGGTTCAGATCAATAAAAAGCAGATCATACTGTCAAAAATGAATGATAAAATCAGATCATGGATTGGTCTATTATAAATAACATATGATGTAAACATTCTTGGAAGTGGTGCCAGGAGATTGATGAAAAACTATCTGTTATGTGGAGACTACCTGGGTGGCAAGGTGTTTGGAGTGTGTCGGAGTGTGTTTTTGTGGGTGTTAGAGCAACCGTAACGGTCGTTGTCATTTTTGCGACTGTTTTAACAGCGCACAGCGCTCTCATTTTAGTTTAGTCACTCTTCTCCACACCGGTCGCTGCTATCGTGGTTATTAATTTACTCGCCGTAGTCCGTACCGGTAGTGAGCATTTTGACAATTCTACGAATAGCAACCTTTCTCCCGCGCTGCTATCGCGCTGCTATCGCGCTGCTATCGCGCTGCTATCGCGCTGATATCGCGCTGCTATCGCGCTGCTATCGCGCTGCTATCGCGCTGCTATCGCGCTGCTATCGCGCTGCTAAATTTGGTAACGCGCTTCTCACCGAGAAGCCGGCTGCTATTTTAGTTACTCGTATGGCAACCCCCGATACGGTAGCTGCGCTATTATGAGGGCTGCAAAAATGAGTTTAGCAGCGTACCGTTACGGTTGCTCTTAACACAAGGTGGCAGAGTGACTTACCCCCTGGGTGATGGTGTTCAGGACCAAGACGTTCTATTGAGGCAGATATTTTTGTGGATCGCATTTAAACGGTTGTTCTATTATTGTTCAAAATATATAATAAATATAGTTTTGAACACTTTAGAAAGGTTAGCAACGGATTTTTTGGAAAGTTTCAGCGTATAGATATGGTTCTTCAATAGGTCACGGTTTTTAAAAAAAATATGTCTGTCCACTTTTTCAGCGCAACCGGTTGTGCTATCTCCTATGGAGCCATCCCTCTAGACAAAAGCAGTTGTCTTCTTCTGAAAATCCATTCTTGAAGTATTGTCTGATTCTTTGGAAACATAATGCACCAAAACTAAAAACGGTTATACTAGACCCTCTCTAACCAAAACTAGAGACGCTCTCTAACCAAAACCATCGTATAAATCAACGCCATACTGGAATTCCTATGACGATGATTTCTGCGATGGTTTCAGCGCGTTTTATTCCATTTATTACCAGAAAAACAGGCAATAAGTAAAATGTTTTGCGTTTGGAGTACTTTATCTGACATTGACCGGCCCCTCGAATTGGTTCGAATGTGTTTTCTTCTTTTCCTTGGAATGAAATTTTACCGAATATTAGCGAAAAGGAATCAAAACAAAAAATATCAGCCGTCGGAGTGAGCAGCGCCCGCTGACTCATTCCTTCGAAAAACTGAAACAGCGAAAACTCGACTCATTCCTCCGGAAGTTTCCCACATTCCGGATGCATTTCACTTGAAAATCGACATTTTAATCAACATTGAAGTTATTTTTATTGCTTAATCCCCAGTGAGCGAGTGGTTGTGTTTAGAATCATGTCCATCGAGGCGGAAGTGCGTACGATTCTATCCCGTGCTCTGGACGCGGACGAAGCTGGCCAGAAGGAGCTGGCTATCGAATGGTACGGCAAAGCGGTGGAGACTATTCTTCGTATCGAGGACCGTGAGAAGCGGGAAAAGTTGAATAAATTCGCCAAACAGGCGTTGGATCGAGCAGAAGAGCTGAAAGGAATCAAGTACGTTCCGCCGAAGGATCTGAAGGTGCCACAGCCGGGAACGTCCACAGCTCATCCGGTGCGAAGCAGTGCCGGTTCCACCCACAGTCCGCTTCATAGCCCAAGGTTGGAAATCAGTGGATCCGGGCATGCCTACACGAGTGAGGAAAAAAAGGTATTGGAGTACACGTCCCACATCAACTCAAAGGTCTACGTTCCGTTCATGGATATCGATTTGATGGAGAAGTTCAATTTTCCCATTCCGTTTACCGATAAGGATGGTTTGCTGGAGTTGGCCCCAAAGCAAAAGCGAGACTTTGTGCAGTGGATTCGGGTCAGTGAGCTGAGCGAGCATCCGCAGCTGATTGCCGGGGAGCATGCGGATTTCTACAGCATCCGGCAGACGGTAGTGTCGGATTGTAGCTTCGTGGCGTCGCTGGCGGTGGCTTCTTTGTACGAGAAAAAGTTCAAGCGGAGGATTCTGACGTCGATTATCTATCCGCGAAACAGCCGAGACGAACCGATCTACAATCCGAGCGGAAAGTACACGATCCGGATGCACGTCAATGGCATTCCGAGGAAGGTTGTGATTGATGATTATCTACCACTGGGAAGGTACAACCAGTTGCTGTGTTCGTATTCGAGTAACAAGAACGAATTCTGGGTTTCGCTGCTGGAGAAGGCCTATATGAAGCTGATGGGAGGATATGATTTTCCGGGGTCGAATAGTGTAAGTTGTATTTTGAATTGGTTGGTTTGGTTTATAGTTTAGGAATGGATATTTATTTTTTAGAACATCGATCTTCATGCTTTGACGGGTTGGATTCCAGAACGAGCTTCTATTCGGACGAAGGATCCAGACTTCAATGCAGATGCAGTGTTCAACCGATTAAAGGAAGGGCTCAGCGCTGGGCGTTGCCTGGTGACGGTGGCCACCGGTGAGCTTACGGATGCTGAAGCCGAACGTACAGGGCTGGTATCGACCCACGCTTATGCCGTGCTGGATATGCAGGAAATTGATGGAGTGAAGTTGCTTCAACTGAAGAATCCCTGGTCTCATCTACGTTGGCGGGGCAACTATTCCGAACTGGATGCGGTCCACTGGACGCCGGAGTTGCAGCAGCAGTTGAACTACGATCCCAAATTGGCAGCAAATTACGACAACGGTGTATTCTGGATCGATTACAATTCGATTTTGAACTTCTTCGACGTGTTCTACTTGAACTGGGATCCGGCCCTTTTTCAGTACACTTACAGCATTCATCAGTCGTGGAGTGCCGGCGTGGGGCCTACGAAGGACGCCTATAATGTCGGGGATAATCCACAGTTCAGCTTGACCGTCCCGGCAGGGAAGGGATCGGTTTGGATCCTGTTGACGAGACACATCACATCGATTGAGGATTTCAGGGAGAACCGGGAGTACATCACGGTTTTGGTGTATAAAAACAATGGAAAGCGGGTTTACTATCCTTGTAAGTTTGGGTCCTATCAGTTGTGAAATTGTGTGATTCAAAATTATCCCATTTGCAGCGGACCCACCTCCATACATCGACGGAGTCCGAATCAATAGTCCGCATTACCTGTGCAAAATCCGATTGGACCCGAACTCCGTCCGGAAGTACACTCTTGTGATATCGCAGTATGAAAAAACGGCAACGATTTATTACTCGTTGAGGGCCTACTGTCGAGACAAGTTCGAGCTGAAGAAGATTGATAACCAGTTCCAGATGGTTGAAAATGCAAGTTCTTCGGAGACATCCTTAATATCTGACTACATTTTAAATGACATTCTGATCTCTGTAGATCAACGGTGAATGGAAGGACCGCACGGCTGGTGGGTGCCCGAATCATCCGCTGACCTACAAGAACAACCCCCTCTACCGGATGCACATTGGCCCAAAGGACTCCAGTCACTTAGTCGTCGAACTTCGTGGTCCCAAAGTCTACCAGGTGGGGCTGGAGTTGACCGTGGTTTCGCTGGAAGACCCCGATGTAACTGCCCCCTTCATATCTCAAAGCACCGGCAACTATCGGTCCGGGTTCTGTGTGCTCGACCTGGAAGCCATCCCTGCCGGAGTCTACCAGCTGCGTCCGTCCACGTTTCTACCGGAGCAGGAATCGCCGTTCTTTCTCAAGTTCAAGTCGACAACGAATTTGGTTATCGAAAAGATGAATTAGGAGAGTTTTTGGGTAATTGTTGATGTTTTTTTAATCATTGTGATGGCTTTGTTGAAAGCTTTTTAAGCGATAAAAAAGTGGATATGTTACTTATTGTACATCTTTTTTATCATGTTTTAACGATCGAATACTAGAATTTCGTTATTTATACAAATCAATAATCATTTTAAAATAGTGCAAAAAGATGTATTGTTAAATTATTCGAAAGAAACTCCCTCCCGTAGGGCATTCTTAAGCACCTTGCTGAAGGTGGAAGGGCATAATCTCATGCTGTAAGCTTGTTTGGGAGACCAAGGCAATGGTCAAATGATGTCCCAGAAAGTATAAGCACACTTTCAACTCGCCGCGATTTCTACCCCGATGAAATTTATCAGCTGTTCATCGATGTGTGTTGTTGTTTACTTATTACTCAACAAGTTTGAGTGTGTGTGTGTGTGTGTATTCCTTCTAACCCCCACTGGCCGGCAGTGTTATTATGGAAGAACTCTCTTCAATGCCGCATTTATGGTCATTGTAGACAGCTTTAGTCCGGGTGTTAGAAGGTGATAGCTTTTTTGCAGATCCAGCTACCCATTTCAGAATGTCTGGAGAGTCACGCCAATTCCGAGGTTACTTTCACTTACAATAAGCCCCACATGTATGTATTACCTCTATTTATTGGATATTAGTATTACATACACACTTCCAGGTTCGAAAATTGTTGAAACTGATTTCTTTTAGCGTCCCGTAAAACTCTAAGTTTGTTGGGAACAGATTTAGCTATAATTTAAATTTTATTTTTAGTAATATTATCACTTTAACAATATTAATTATAATTTTTCAGTATTTCTTCCGACTAACTTCCTTTAGTGAATACAAATGTTAGGTTGTGCTATAAGGAACAAATTTATCATTGTAATTAATATTATACTTCATAATTTACTTTATATTATTTACTTACAGTTTATCGAACTGAACACTAATTTACTAATTTTTCACTTTTTAAATATAAGCTAGTTTTAATTAAATAAACTGCCTGCATAAAACATGACTATGCACTACGAACTCTTTAATGTCAATGTTTACATTTCGTTTCTTTAGCCGTGTCAAACCGCAATGACATTTCTTCGTTCCAGCGGGTTAATGTTCATCGATGTGCGTAGCTACCCTGTGTTAACTAGCGATTGTTACGCGCCGAGGGGTACTCGTCATCACATTCCCCCGCCCGCAAACCATTATGTTCGGCTTCCGGTTTACCAGCATCTTCGACGTCGAGTAACGCCAGCTTTACCACTGGTCTTCGTAATGTTCCGTTCGCCGTCCGCACCCACGCTTGCCGAACCCGTCCATCCTTTCCTTGAATGACCTTATCCACCTACTGATTTCGTACCGTATCGTCCATGATCAGCACCAGATCTCCTTCCGCTATCTCCTTCACTTCCTTGAACCACTTCGACCTTCTCGAAATCACCGGCAAGTACTCCTTGATCCAATGCTTCCATATTGCGTCCGTCAAGTGCTGGGCAAGCTTCCATCCCCTGTTCAATGTTGCACGATAATCCACGGGCATCGTTGGACGTTGTTTCACTCCACTTGAGCTCCCCAAGAGAAAATGGTTAGGGGTCAAGGCTTCCTGATCGGCTGACTAACGGAATGTACGTCAGTGGTCTCGTGTTGATCATCGCCTCAGCTTCAATCATCACCGTTTCCAGAACCTCGTCATCCGGCCGTCGTTGCGCTTCCAAAATGGTTCCGATTGCTGCATTTACCGAGCGAACCATTCGCTCCCACACACCACCCATATGTGGTGCGGATGGCGGGTTGAACGACCAACGAGTCGCAGAGTTGGTGAAGGTTGTAGCCAGATGATTGTTGCGTTCCTCCATCTCCCGTTTCAGCTGATTGTTCGCCCCGTGAAAATTCGTCCCGTTGTCGCTAAATATCTCAGCCGGTGAACCTCGTCGTAATATGAATCTTCTTACAGCCATGACGCAGGATTCCTTCGATAGACTGTGAAAAACCTCCAGGTGAACAGCGTGGATAGTCAAGCAGGTGAACAGGGCTATCCACCGTTTAACGTTGCTGCGACCTCGGTTAAATAATAAAAATCTACGCCTACGTATGTGAACGGCCGTACATACAGAGTTAGCCGGACCGGCGAGCGTGGATAAGCGCGAAGAACTCTACACCCGATACAGCTTTCCGAGACTTTCGTAACCAGTGACCTCAGTTTTGCAATCTCGTAGAGCTGCCTTATCTCGTTGACAACTGTCTCACCATTGCACGATTGTCGACGAGGAGAAATGTGATTAGATGCTTGCTGGGCAGAATTACCGGGTACTTGATTCCGTACGGTATCTATTCAGCATTCCCCAATCGGTTACGTTTGCGTATCACTCCATTCTTGTCCATGAACGGCCACAGCTTGTATATTGTACTAAACATCGGCAGTATTCCATGTCGAGCTTCCGGTTATCCCATCATCGCTTTAAGAATTACTATTTCCGATGCGAAGATGTCCACCTGCGCTAGTTTCCACAACGAATTTTCGGCACGTGTTAATTCGTCCTGTGTTAGAACTGCTTGAACCAGTACTTCTCTCCGCTGCGACTGCTGAGTATTATTGATGAATCGATGCACGAACGCCATAGTTCTGTGTAGCTTCGTCCACTTACTGAACCTGATATTTGGACCGGAATCCCATTTGGTTGCATCATTCGATATGTTCAATACCGATCCAATCATCCTCCATTCGCTGACATCTGTCGTGGATAATATCTCCCCGATCCGGAACCCCAATTTAATTGAATTTAATTTTGATGTTTAATATATAAATTATAATAATAATAGGCTCGGTCTCACCATGCTCCGCTAATCTGCCGCCATTGATTGCTTCTTTTGGAATCCCTTGTGTTTTTCCTAAACCTAATGCATTGCTTGTCACAAAGTCTTAGACCCATAGAGCGTGACATAATATATGCATCAACCCTAAGGCTCGCTGGTCGACCGAGCACTTGGAATGAGTCATTGAATCAATGTAGAGTATAGTATGAGATGGTGTTATATGCAAAGTACGAAAAGAGAATGAAAGGGATTAGTTTCAAGAAATGATAGTTTCATCAGATTCCCCAACTAACCATACTGAAGCAAAGTAAGTAAATACAAGCTATATTGCGACTAAGGCTGTGAACCATTTGCCGAGTTAAATTGAACTCGTGGTTAAAAGTGACATTTCGAAAGTTATTTCTTATGTTCGAAAATCCCCGTGCTGTCGATCGACCGGTTTTCGAGCCACGGTCGTCAAAATTTAACTTCTTGTCTGTCAGAAGTAACCACACTCGGATAGCAGGGTTAATCGATAACTTTTCATCTGTCAAATTTTAACCAAAAGTTAAAATAATCCAACAAATGGTTCAGAGCCTAAATGGTTACTTGGGTACTCATATGGCCGTCAGAACGGTTCATCGGTTGCGAAGTGAAGTATTGAACATTTAGCATTGTAAACACTACCGCCATCTGTTGTTTACACTCAACAGATGACTGTAGCGTGTAAACGTAAAACGCAAGGGAATTGATTATGCGCGCCACAAGTGGCGATAGTACCAACTAAGCAACATTTAAATTAACCGTTAAAAGCGATTTCGATGAACATCTTAAGCATGTTATGTCTGCTTGTCTGTGATCATACCTTCACTATCGCAACTCCGGGTAATCCACGAAAGTCGCGAAAGTGCTTGGCACAACATCAAAATGCGAGTTCGGTGAAGAAGTTACCTTCGAGGACACATCAAAATTTGGCCGTAAACCGGGACCGGTGGACCGAAAAGTGAACCAGAAGATCACCAAGCTATCGTCAACAAGAAAAGTTCTCTGTTCGAGTATTGGCAAAACACTGAGAAAATCGAAGAGTAACGTCCAACGTGCCAAGCCAAGAAAAGGGCTGAAAACGTTCAAGAAGCAGAAGAAGCCGAAACGGAGTGAGAAACAAGCGGCATCCGTTAAACGGAGGGCTCGGAAGCTGGAAAATTGGCGTGTGTTATCATGGACGATGTAGCGGCGCCGGTGGTGTAGTGGTAAGCGTGATTACCTCTCACCCCAGCAGCCTGGGTTCAATCCCAGTCGGCGCCGCCGGGATGAATTGAATTAATAAGGCATACATCTCTGATCACGCCTTCCTTCGGAAGGGAAGTAAAGACCGTTGGTCCCCGGTTCACGAGTTGATGGGTCGATAGGTAGGGTCCAGGTGTGGGAGCTGCCTTGCTGGCGTCGGTAGCATTGGTGCTCAGCGTCAGCACGGAAAACAAATCAAGAATGGACGATGAAACATACGTCAAATTTGACTACAAGACGCTTATAAGAGACCAATACAACCCAGTCAATAATGGTTAGGAAGTTGACGATGCCGATAAGTCAATTTACACCAAAAAAATTGGTAAGAAAGGCCATGGTTTGGCAAGCGATATGTGAGTGTGGCAAGTTGTCAAAGCCATTTGTGACGAAGGAGACGATGAACACTGAAATTTACGTTCGGGAGTGTTTGAATCGACGTCTGCGGCCCATGATCCGTCAACATGATTGCCCAGTACTATTTTGGTCCGATATGGAGTGAAAGCACTACTCGAAAGACACAGGTCGTTTAGTAATAAGCAAACAATGTGCAATAGGTGCCAAAAGAGATGAATGCTTAGAATAGCTATATCGGAATCAAGTGGCACATCTTAGGGGATATAGGATAACGGGAGGAAAGGTTATAGGGTAAGTGGAAGCAAGACTATCGGGTAACGGGATATGCTCACCGACAAACCGACATGAAGCTTAAACTTAAGGTGGTTCGCTGTGAAATCCTTATTCTCGCTACCACTTCGAAACTTTAAGTGCACAAATATCAGCTTCCACGACACGTACTACAATGAAACCGTTACTCCACGTTTGCTGCGCTGCAGCATACATGCAGTAGCAATTTCAGGTGAAATGGAACTCTAATTTCCGAGATGTGTGTAATTGAAAATTCGAGGTGGAAATGCATTTATAGCCTACACGGCCATTTGTGGACTCTACAAGGAATCACCTTAACTTTTGCTCGAAAATCTATAACGACCGAGTCAAATGTGCAGCGATCCCATCTGTCAAAACC